CGCTTTATGACCCCCCCCCCCCCCCCCTTATAGGGTCAGTCCACCCATACACCGAAGTGGCCAAGAGTACAGCCAGGGATTATGGCAGGGTCATTTCATCCCTGCAATTTTTGGACCACACAGAACAAACAATAAAAAAAAAACCCCTGCAAGTTGTCAACCTTGCAGACTTTACCTATAACTGAAACAATACCATCAAACTGCAAATCTTACAAGGAGCGGCCTTTTATTGCACAAACATCACAAAGGAACAATTTTGTATTTCGCAGCTTCCTCACAACATAAGCTCTTAATGTAAAGCTGTCTATATGGAGGCCAATATCACTAACCATCTTTCGGAAATGCCTATTGCCCGATATGCTTACCCCCTGGCTTTAGTTTTGTATTCACTGACCCAGGAAACTTTGTGGATCAGGAAAGCTGTACAGTGGTGTAGTGGTTAGTGCTTCTGCCTTGCAGTAGTAGGGTCCCTGGTTCGAATCCTGGCCAGGTCACTAGCTGCGAGGGGTTTGCTTGTTCTCCCTGTGCTTGCGTGGGTTTCCTCCGGGTACTCCGGTTTCCTCCCACACTCCAAAGACATGCTGGAAGGTTAATTGGCTCTGTGTATGCGAGATAGGGACCTTAGGATTGTAAGCTCCTCGAGGGCAGGGACTGTTATGAATGTGCAACTATGTAAAGTGCTGCGTCAATTGTCGGAGCTCTATAAATACAGTAACCAGTCCTTATCTGCAGACCGGCTGTAGATCAGTGGCTAAAAGCACTTGAGTTAGACACCAAGGCGACCGGCATTTCTAGAAAGATGGGCCAGCAATACAAGTTACACTGTTTCGCTCAACAGGTTTTCTTTAAAGCTAAACTCTCATAAGCACCTTAACAGACTTATACAGCTAGATTAGACAGCGAGTCTACAATAAAAATGTGCCTATGGCGTCCTGCCCAGCTCCTGGCAACCAGTGACCTCACTGGTTGCCAGCTCAGCAGGACACCTGCCAGATCAAAAAAAAACCCCCAAGAGACTAGTGCCCTCCCATGCAAGTGGCACTCAGGGCATGTGGCATATGTGCCATGACCTGGATAAGCCACTGGAGTCAAACGCTGCAGAGCCAGGTCCTACACCAATAGATCCTATGATAAATATGAATATTTATCAGAGTGTTCAATTATCTTGTTACTTGAAATGTACAAAAGGTTATTCAAAGCAATACTCAATGTATTTCTGTGCAGACCTGCAGAGCCTCCGTCATCCTGCACTTTTTATAGACATAACCCTTCACATGCCCTTCCAGGTTGGAGGTAGAGAAGCTTGTGACAAATTTAGGTTAATGCTACTTCAGGGGGCTAATGAAGGCCATAAAGACTCTGTGGGGCAGCTTATATAGACAGACACAAAATTTCCTGTGCCTACAACTGCCATCCTGAGAATTCACAGGCCTTTTTAAAGATGGCAACAGAGGAGCCCTTCATAGTATACATTAGTGCTACTCTAGGGGACCACTGAAGGTGGAAAAAGCCTCTAGGTCAGCTTATATAGAGAACTACAAACTATTCTAAC